GGGGGTGGGCGGGATGGGAGATTTAACTGACAATGAAGGGTTTTGATGGGGTGAGGGGTAACATAAAACACTTTCAAACTGTGGAGGTGTGATTAAAATGGTTCTTCTTCCGTGCAACATCTTCAAATGTCTGGGTGCTCTCTGTAAAACTGTGAAAAGACTCACTAAATCGTTGCATATGCCTCATAACGAAACCAGCCTTTATCTGAAAGCATTTTCATAGTAAGTATTGTGGTGTTGCTTGAAAATACCACACAAGACTTGCAAAAGAGATTCTGAAGTATGATACACAAAGCTAGTTATTTAATGCAGTGTAGGGGCAGCATTATGCTAAAAAAATAAATAGTTTTAGCAACTAGGTCTTAGGCCAAAAGTGTTTACAGTTGTTCTGAATGACCACAATCAAAGGTGGAGTAAAAATCTGGACATCATGGAGTGGGGGCGACAGGATGTTGTTTAAATATGGAGATAACCAAGGGCGTAGGTTTGGGTTCAGAAGTGGAGGGGATATAATGAAATAAAAATAATAATGACTAATAAGAAAGTATTTTAAAATTACTTAGTATGCTTGCTACAATAATAGAGGTGTATACCAAAATAAAGAAACAAAAAAGAGAAGTAAACCTCTGTAGTAACCCTCTTTAAAATAATAATCTGTTCAGTTTCCTTTATACCTGAAACATTTTGACAGATAATGTTGTATTTGCATCGTTACTTACTACATCCTGTTTAACCTATTTCTGACTTATGTTTAATAATAGCAACTTTTTAAAACAATATTAACTGTGAATAAAGATTAAAAAAATGTTACCTGAAAACTGTAGTGGGCAGACCCATTTTTCAGTCCTGAGTACATACAGCCACAACAACCTTGACCGTTAAGGTATGGTTGCTTGTGTGTGCCGTGAGAGATGAAACCAGGGCAAAAAAGTAGCCAACAACTCGTAGAGCAACTCGCTGCTCTTTGAGCTAATTTCTTGGAGCACACATTAATAAGTAAAGGTGACTCAGATTAAAATGTCACAATTTTTATCAACTCAGATCTTCTCTTATCTTGACTGCGGTGGCTGAACAGGAAGAGGACAATGTTCAGAGACATTTTTGTAAGACGGTCAACTGAAATATTTAATGTGAGTGGAACTAAGGTAGGATTTAGAATTTTGAAATTGAATTGATTTTGAATAGTGAGTGGAACATGTCCCCTGCATCCCCAGTGGATGTGATGCCCCTCACACTTTCAGACAGTCTCTCCTGGAAGACATTCATCGTGTTTTACTCTGGAAAAGTTTTGTAAAGAATGAAAAAATTAAGGTAGAGAGAGAAGCTCAGACCCAGCCAACTTTCTCACTTCTGCGCAGCTGACCTATCACAGTGTGAAGTGGGTGTCATGTGGGCTGGTCGGTTTCAGGAAATAACATAGTCAGACACAACTGACCCGACCCGGCAAGCGCTTCTGGCATAGTGGCACCTTAATGATATTCTGATATGGATTCTCTCAGTTCCATGTTGCTGTATTGTTCTAATCCCTTTTCATTATTATCATTTTATAAATGTATTAATATCCCATATTACTCAAAAACATGAACTTCAGACAGTCAGTATGTATGGTATGTTGTTTGTGCAGTGGTCTCAAATTCCCAAAGTGGCCATCCCAAAATGCTACAGAAATGACAATATAGAATATAGAAAAAAACAAAACAAGGAAGCCTGTCTCTCCCTCTTCCTCTTAGAGGGAAATTTCCCACAAGGATGGTGGGAGTGCTCACGACAAGTGATGAATGAATTTCACTGTGCTTTGACCCCTCTTTCCCTCTATCATTGCCTTCCATCATTTATCAGCAGTCTTTTTTAGGATCCTCACAATCCCCACAGTGGCAGCCAAGCTATGGAAATCTATGTAATTCATCTTAAGAAGAAAAGAAGCTCTCAGTAGTCAGTTCACATCATCACGCAGAGGAGATGGTTCTCTTTACATTTTTCCCAACTGGAAGATTTCTGTGCCTGCAAGGAGTTGATCCACTTTTAATTTCTTGTTTGGATTTTATGTAACACCCCGCACTGCAGTTGGACAGTGCTGTAAAAAGTCTGTGATGTCTGCAGTGCAGCATTTATTTGACACATCAAAGGACTTTCATCTATTCCAGAGCTTGTTTTGCATAATTTGAAGTAAAAAAGATGTGAAACCCTTCCACAGGGGAAAAACTTGCAACATTTGATGCAGCCACACAAGAGTTTTAACAGTGTGGTCCCAGCTAAACTGAATACCAGAAGAAAAACACATTTTCCTGACAGATACAGTTTCATGATCATTTATCCAAGCCATCAGTAATTTTGTGAATTCAATTTCACATCTTTCCTCCAGGCTCTTCCACACCAATCACAAATGAGGATTTACAAGTAGTGACCAATGACATCAGCAACACCTCGAACCGCATCATTACATTCAGTGTGATACGGCATCCTAAACTGGGGCGTCTGGTGATGAGGCAGCCTGATAATTCAACAGTGGACATCTCCACATTCACACAAGACATGGTGAGTGAAGAACTGGAAGTCACATCAACACTTATCTCTCATTTTATAAATAATACTTTAAAACAAAATACAGGAACCAGTTTAAGATTAAACATTAGGGTCCCTCCATTCGTGTGGAAAGCTGCCAGATTTCCACAGTATGAATAATTGATATTCTGCATCCCCATTCAGGAAATTGACTTTGCACATCTTTAGCTGAATGGAACGTGTAATGCTTTTATGCAATCAATTATTTCCGATGGATTATTATGATCTTGCATAGTTAAATCTGTGATGCTTGGTGTACTCTGTGTACTTAATTTACTGCTGAGCCAAGCAGATTTAAATGACTCATGAAATCTTATACATGCTGTAGTAATGTCTTTCAGAAATACTGAGGCCACTGAACTGTTTATACAGTTGATTAAAGCATCAGTTCACGTTAGGGATGGCTTATCATGTGCAACTTGATGTAAATTTATTTTGTATCGTGCTGTTTTTGTATCTCAGGTGGACAAGAAAGAGGTTGTGTATATTCAAGCCCCCATCGAGTCAGTGGGCTGGGAAGCCATGGACTCCATTACCTTCTCTGTGACATCACCGCCTACTTCTCTGAACAGTCAGACCTTCAGAATAGACATTTCTTATGAGAATACTGGACCTGAACACAACACAGTCCTGCTTGCAAACACAGGTATGAACAAGAGTCTACAGACATGTTAGTGGTTCTGTAAGGATGTACAGTGCTGCTTTGAGCTGAATGCTAATGTCAGCATGATAACAATGCTGATGTTATGCAGGTATAATCTTTACTGTTGCCAATATTTGCTAGTCAGGACTAAACCCACAGTACGTCCGAGGCTGATAGGAATGTCAGTATATGGTCATAAAAAAGGTCAAAAGTTTTGACTTGTGATACATGAATGAATATGAATATGATAAATAAGAGAGTCTTAATTAATCCTGAGGGGAATATAAAGGTGTGTACAAAATTTTATGGCAGAGAAGCTACCTCAATATGCTTTATCCCCAAAAATGTCTTACATTTTTAGCAATCCATCCAGTAGTTTTTTAGATATTTCAGTCTGAAATACGACTATGACTATGCTGACTATGCTCTTGTTTATGTTTTTACTACTTAAAAATGTTTAACCGTGTTGTCTTTAGTGATTAATGTATTTTGTGCTTGGTGCTAGGTGCTGAGGTAACAGAAGGGGAGAGTATCATCATTGATGAATCCAAGCTGGATGCCTCTAATCTAATGTCCAAGCTGGCGACCCCTCAACGGAGCTCCCATGAGGTTTGGTTCCAGGTGACATCTCTGCCTCAGCATGGCGTCATAGTGGTGGGTGAGAGAAACCTCACCAAGGAGAAACCTAACTTCTCCCAGTTCATCATTAACAAATATGGTATCACCTACAAGCACGACAACTCAGAGACAACTCATGATTCGTTTGTATTCAGTGCATGGTTAAATCTGAAGGGCAAAACAGCACAGCGCCCACAAGAAGACAATAATGTGGTTGAGGAGCGTTTTAACATTACAATCACACCTGTAAATGATCAGCCACCTTTGCTTAAAACAAAAGCTCCAAGTCTGAAGGTGGTACAAGGAGACACAGTGGCCCTCAGGCCTGAAAATCTCAAGGTTGAAGATTTAGATAATCCTCCTGATGATATTAAGTTCTCTGTGATAAGTAAGCCAAACAATGGTTACCTAGCTCTTGAAGGGAGTTTGAATGAGTCAATAATTACCTTCACCCAGGCTCAAATCAATAAGGGAGGCGTCTATTTCATCCACGATGGAAGCTCTGTCTCAGGGGTGTTCTACTTCAGTGTCACAGATGGCCATCATAAACCAATATATAAACTCTTTAACCTAGAAGTGACAGAAATCACAATTACTCTGGTCAATTGCACTGGATTGACACTGGAGCAAGGCAAGACTTCAGTATCACTGACCCAGGACAACCTTGCTGCTGAGTCCAATGGTAAAAACATCACCATTCACTACCAGATTACAAGGCCTCCAAGCTTTGGCAAATTTCTAAAGGACAACCAAGAGGTTACACAGTTCGAACAGGAGGATCTACAGTCTGGAAGGTTATCTTACCGTATGACCTCCCTTTCCTCTGCAGAAGACAGCTTTGAGTTCACTGCCTTCACTTCAGAAGCAAATCTGACAGGCCAAGTGCTTAACATTACTGTCAGACCTTTGATACAGGTTGGCAAAGGTTTGAGGATCCCCAATGGTATTACTGTCAAACTTAACGCTAGCTTTCTTAATGCCTCTGAACTGGCTAACATCAGCGATAGTGACCCTGTATTTGAAATGATTTCCCATCCTAAGTATGGGAAGGTGGTTCGGACAAAACCTATAATCTCCATGAAATCTGTACCAGCTGAGTCCTTCACTTTTCAGGAGGTGATTCAGGAGAAGATAGCCTTGGAGCTGAATACCAACATGACTGGAGTTCAAGAGCTAAATGACTCACTGGTGTTTGTACTAAAAGCTGAAAACATCCAACCTGCTAAAGGGGAGTTCCATTTTTCAGTTGTGCCATATGATCCAGCACTTTTTCCAACCACAAAGAGTCCTGTCCCAACCACATCATCTGTTCCTCAGACACCAATCCAGACTTCCAGAAATGGAACTGCTTCACCGGTCCTGTCTACAGTTTTCCTCTTTACCCAACAACCAAGCAAAAACCAGCAAAAGTTCAAGGGGCGCAACCGCTGGGGAAACTCCAACAGAACTAGCATTTTCAGCACAACTCTCGGCAAACCAACAAGTGGAACAGAGGATTTTCCCTTTAGAAACACACCAGTTCGTGTAGAGTCCTACCCTCAAAAAACTTCTAGTCCGCTCCTGGTTATCTTACCACTGCTGGCCCTGCTGCTGCTTGTAATCATCTTTGTAGTCCTGGTTGTCTTTCTTCGACACAATAGACAAAGGAAGCAGAGCACTGCTACACCAAAGGAGCCACCTTCCACTGGTCTTCCAAGCAGTCAGTCCTACCAGGGTCAAACTCAGAGGAGCACCACAGTTCCCACAGTGACTGTCACTCCACTAAACCACACCTGCCCAGGTAGCCCTGTTCTTGATCGGTCACTGACACCAAATCAGGGCTCAGCCTATAACACGATTGATTCAAACATGCTCATAAGTTCTTGGAGTAATGGGTCCCCTTCGTCATCCTCCCAGATTATTCAAATCGCCACTCCCACTCTGCAGAAGAATCAGTACTGGGTATGAACACAAACTAACTTGTAGCTATATAGGTGTTGGAGAATACTGTTACAGCGTTGATATCAGATTAAAATGTGGTTGTGTACTTAAATAAGGCTGCAATAAATTATTACCTGTTGAAGGTTATCAGCCTGAAGCTGCATTAATCAATATTTTTATATTAATACTGAATCAAATTACAGTGTCATGTGTAAGGTTTTACTTGTAGTGACGAATTCAGAATTATCACCCAACCAGGTCTTTTTAGTCTCTTTCAGCGAATTGTTTTGTTTTTTATGGCACATTACTACTTCAGTGTCAGAACTGTCATGCTCATGAGCACAATTTCCAGCACCAGCAGGCTGCAATCACCTAATAACCACCAAACATTAGAAACTAGCTTAGGAAGAAAATCTAACATTAACCACCAACTGGGTCATAATGTTGCTCTGAGTCCACTGGTGTGTAATTAGGCAACAACTTTTGGAAGAACAACTTTATAAGGACATACTACTGTATGCCAGTTCTTCTAGTGGCCAAAAATTGATTCATGCAGCTTTAAGGATGGATAAAGGAGAGAATCACTGTCACAGAAGCCCTTTGCAATACATTAATCAGCATCAGGACAGTTTAAGGATTGATTTGTGCCCCACAATCCATTAAAACACTGGTTCACAATCCAACACCAGACACTGCTGTATATTAAGTTGGTGGTACAGACTTTGTTTCCATAAGCATTTACATAGCGGTCATCATGTGGTAAATTATGTTTGGTGCCTAATGTATGTTCAATCACTTACATTGTTACCTGGTCCTCGCACGTTAAGTCTCTTCCATTATGAGTTATGATCATTAGAGTGGAAGATGATGCTAATAACAGCTTGAAACTGTGAATTACTAAGACTGACACTGGCACAAAGGAAGTCTTGTCTAGGAATTTCAATTGATTGTGCAGATTTTATATTGTTGTTATGTATTATATATTATAGAAACTTTTTGTAAACTCAGGTATTTTGTTAAGTCATTTACTTCATGTTACCTATAATGAGGGTTGCATGTATTGTCATTGAGGTCTTTTTTTAACATTACAGGGTTGAAAATGCTTCCTACCATAGCTCTATATTGAAATGAGACATTATAATGGCTGATTTTGTACCACTATTAAAACAGTTTTGTTTTACTGGCCTGATCAAATCACACTGTTTAAAATGTTTTTACTATGCACCATATTTATATAATTTCAAAAAGGCACTACTGATCTTAAATATTACACACATCGACACTGTATTCTACCCACCTTCACCTCAGTGATTACAATTCAACTAATAGGTATATACTGTGGTCTATTCACAGGTTCCCCTGCAGTTGAATAGATTGATGGGTCCACCTACTTTTAAAGAGATAGAGCAGCTAACCCTAAAAAAATCTCAGTAGTCTGGGACTCTTCATGAGCTTCTGGGGTGAAGCATTTGATTTGTCTGTCAATAGGATAAGTTGTCCATCTCTTTCTTATTCGAGCAGCATTTTCTAGCATAATGAATTAACCTTAACAAATACGGACAGGTCTTTCCTAGACAGATTACCAGAAACTGAGAATTTATTTGACTGAAATGAGTGCTGGTATTTATATGAATTATTTAACACTGATAGGCCTGTTTAACTTGTGTCATTAGATTATTGACATTATCTACTGTAGGCCTTGGTTGTTTGATGCTGTAATGATTTATTTACTGTAAATTAAAGGTACTGTTCTGATATGTTCTGGCAAGCTATGGGAGATGAGCTGTCACAGAAAACTACTGTAAACTTATATGTTATGAAATCATTTTGTGCTGAAGAGAAGTGTCTATCCATTCTATTCCAGTCTTATCTGAATGATGTAATCCGAAGTGTCATATTTATTTATACCATATTTTTAATAAACCACTTTAAAATTTTTGCATGGAATTACTTTCAGCTTTTATACTGTAGCATAATCGTACTGTGTGTGTGCGTGCATGAACTGCTGTTTTTTACTTAGTATCTGCCCATTTCTCCTCTAACAAGATTTAGTAGTGTCCAAATTGTCCCTTATTTCTTCCACTTAAATGAGTTTCTGGCAGTTTTCTCTATCACTGTAATTTAAACTGTACTTGCAGCCTTTGGGGCCTCCTTTTAATGGTACTTTACATGTTGCAACAAAAGATACATTGCACCAGAGGACCAATTAGAAAAAGATTAATTATCATCATCACTTCTCCCAGTTTCCTGCAATTACTTAAACTGTGGGTTTCTCCCATCCAAAAAACAATAAAATGAGCAGGACTTCATCACATGATCTGCGCTGAGGTGTTGTGTTTTCTATTTCAGTAAGAAGTGTGTCATTGCCAAAGCGAATGTCCTCTAAAAACCTCAGTGGATACCCAGAAGGTAAACATGTAATCTAATTTGGAAAAGCGCGAGGATCTGCAGCTGAAGCTTCACTGCTGTGAGTCAGTCCACATGACTGATGGCATCATGCAAAGAAAGCAATTACTTGTTTTCCTGACCACAAACACACTGAATGCTGGAGGCATTAAGGATGTCTGTCACATGTGCACAGGTGTTCAATAAAGATTACAGTGAGTTCATAAAGAATGCACACTGTTTCATCATAATTGCACCCAGCTCAGGATTCATACACAATCAGTGCTGGTGTGCTAAATGGCCTTGTTGACAGTAAATGAGCTAATAGGAGTGGTGAGCAATGGCATCACATGTGAGTTGGAAACTTAGCACAATGATGTCAAACCAACAGGAACTTCACTGGGATAACTACACTGTTGTTAACCACAGTATTGTAATTTGTTTAAAGGAAATTCCAACAGAACTCGGGATGAACATCAGCAGATTGTTCAGTTTATCATGAACAACAGGAGTTTGTTGAGTCCAGTCTGACACATTTAGCGCGGGGAACGATGAACTCAATCAGCAAAAACAGCAAAATAGAAATAGTACTTCTAAACATGAGCATGCACATGCTCCTCTGATACAATGGTTGAAGTTCTTTACCAATCCTGTCTCCACCAGCCACAAACAAGATACATTTTCAGCCCCAATTTGTCAATTCAGAATCAGAGAATCAGAATTGACTTAAAGAACCTGTTCGTAGGATTTAGTGGCATCCAGCAGTTCCAAGTCGCAGATTACAGCTAATTGAACACGCTCGCGTCTGTATTTACCGTCCTGGGACTGAGAACGGGCTATCAAGTGTGTAGGAGAAACTACGGTGGCCGTCAGACTCAAGAAAAACACAAAAGGCCCTTTCTGCAACCGGTGTTTGCTTTGTCCGTTCTGGGCTACTGTAGAAACATGGTGGCCTCCACAGAAGGTGACCTGTAGATAAAATATTTAATATCTGCCAATAGATCCTCCTAAATGTTACACACTGGACCTTTAAGTATGTTGAAATTTGACTGGTTGTTTGCCCACCATGAGCAAATGTACCAAATGATAGTCAGCGAAGGCAGCCCTGGTGTGTTGTCTTGCTAGCCTAGCTTCAGACCACTGAATCACTACCTTTCATCCATGTTTTTTTTAGTGATTCAAACTGATTTGTAGGCAGGTTAAACGTGAATGACAGTTCAGTATGATCAGGTCCCTCGCCTCAATCCTAGTTACTCGGAACATTTGAGACTAGAGTGCAGTGATGATGATATGGCACAAACGCATCGTATGTGTCAGTGAGGTTTGCAAAGTATGACTGTCGCAGCTTTTCAACAGACACAAAAGAGGGGGATTTTGTGTGGAAGAATTTAGAAGAATTCGATCACCCACTCACACCCCTTCACACATAAAAATCCAACCTCAAACCAACATTGCTTGTTTGTGGCAAAAACAGCTCGGCTTGAGCGCTTTCATCATCACAAGCGTGTAAGTGTGAACATGTACACGTCTACACGCACTCACAACCTCAGTGAGACTATCCTCATCTGTTATACATGCTGAGATTCCCTTTTTGTGTTTAGGAATGCTTATGATCTGAAAGACTAATACTCAAACTATCCGGAGACTACAACAAGCCAGCTCACACTCTATTTATTGCCTGAAATCATTTGCAGAACTGCATGGTTTGTTTTGCACGTCATGTCAGATTTACAATCGTGTCTGGTGGAACGCAACAGGCTGTAAAAGAGGGTGGAAACAGAGGCAAAAGATTGGATATAAGTCCAACATTTAATTGTCACATTTTCACTGTAACACTACATGGTGACTATTGACCGAATCTCATGATTTTAACGACTTCATCGTTAGCAGAAATACTGCCTCACCTCACACAGTGTGAGGGTAAGTAAAGGTTTAAAACATTCTGTCAGGATTTCAAGAAAGTTTTCAAGACCTTATTACTGATTTGGACAATTTGGAGTGGAGCGAAAGTTACAACATGTAAAACAATAAGAGGTTTTGCATTCACAGAGTCTCTTTAATTCACTGATCCATTTATTTGGAAAAGAAGAGTTTTACAGCCATGCTAGTGGCTCAGCAAGGCTGTACTCAGGTCACTGGTGCTTTGAGTTGAGTGCTAACTTCAGCATGATAACCATCTTATTTTACCATGTCAGTGTTCTTACATTTGCTCATCAGCACAAAACACAAAGGGCAGCTGAGGATGATGGGAATGTCACTAGTTTTGTAGATACCAAACCAGTTTGCCACTTGACACACTACTGATTCAATATTATAAAGGTATGTATCACAGTGTAACATTACATTGTATCTAATCTAAGATCCTTTTTTGCTTTGAATAACTAACGTGCCTCCACCTACAGACGTCTGCAGCAGAGCCCATTATCAGTTTGAACTTTAACGTCATCTGCTAAAGAGATCTTACATCTGTTATGATGCTTCCAGCTAATGCAGTGACATATTATTGCACATTTTTATTATTAAAGGTGAATTTAAGTGTTATTATATTTATAACTAATATAAAACTATATAGTTTGCATCAACTACAACTGTAAATTAAGGTCATCCAAATTCTTAAAAGCCTGAGTGAGTTGTACTTCTATGACCAACAGTCAAATTATAGCCTTAAAAAGAGGAAATTAGGGTAGAGAAAATGCTGAGGGCATGTTATTTGGAGTTACAAAACGGGGATGTCTGGCAGGAAACGGTCACATTGACACTCAGAGAGGTCAGATTCCTCGAACTGTCTGCAATGTTACACACTCACAGGTTTACACCACAAAGTTTTCACTCCACCCTTTAAATTGTGATATTGACAGTCAAAAAGTGAGCTAATACAGGTTACAATACAAACTAATATCCCAATGTATGTGTGAGAGAAACTGAGAGAGTCACAGAGAGATAATTAGTCAAGATGAGTCCGTGCCCTCAGATATTAGATCACAGAGTGATCATCATAATTTAAGGGATGGTAATTGTGGGGCAGAGGGTTACAGAACAATAGCACCCTGCAAGACGAGACTAAGAGAGACAAAGGAGCCATGGCTCGTTTGGTTTAATAGAGTTCCACACAGACAAACCCAGATGGTTAATTAAATCAATTCGACTGCCATTTGAATTTTTTTTACAAAGACTGTTTCACTTCTAAAAAGACTTCCTTTTCTCTCTCATCTTATAAACTATTGCAAGATTAACAATGTCTGTGCATTTGAAGTACCATCATCCACAAAGTGTCATTTAGTTTTATTCATAAAAGCTCATCAAGACACGTAAAATACCGCAAAGGGTTTCAGAATGTAGCGTGCTGGTGTTGAAAGCCACGGTGGTTGCCTTTTAGGAAAAAAGCACTGTTGCGCAAATGATGAAGTAAAGCAAAGAGCTACTCTGCAATCTCGCTTATTTTTTGCTTTCCTCCTTCCGAGAGCTCTTTACCCATGTGGCATCAGTATCAGCCGCTGTTTTATCTGCTGCTAAACTGTGCAATTCTCATCTGCTCGGGGAAAGGATTAGCTGCTTGATTCCTTGACAGGCTTTTCTCTGTTTTCTTGGCAGTGAGCAATGCTTTCTCTCTGTGCTCTGCAAGTGGCTGATGTGTTCTGAAATGGCACCAAAAAGAAACAGGTCATGCACATATTGCAAGTAATATACATGGCCAGGAAAACGATGGCATCTAATCATCTCATTTGAGTGTCTCTTGCGGTTTTGCAGGAGTGAGTAAATGGTAAGCGAGGGATTGTTCTGGACAGATTAATCCCTCATCTGTAACTTTTGGGACACTTTTTGGTAAATGGTATATGACAGCAGTGTATAGCATAAATGTGGGTCTGTACTTGCATTTTCTTCTTCTGACTTGTCTTTGTAGGACTGAATTCTTTCTCTAAATTAAATAAAACCCCTATTTTCAGCCTTTTATTCAATTTAGGCTAACAATATTGGAGGTGTTCTTGATTAAGTTATTGCAGTACATTTTGCATAATTGTGTTCCAAATGGTTATTTTTTTCTCCTGCAAACTGGAGGCAATATTTTAACCCTTTGGTCTTAGTGGTTGCAGCGTATTACCTGATTTCGAAGCCTAACTTTTCCTAAGAAATCAGGTCAGTGTTCCTGTGTAATCTAACATCTATCAGCAGCCAACACACTCATTCACACAGAGTACCAACACACATACACAAACGCACATGTGGTCAACTCCCACGTGCACCACTCCCCATTGATTTGGTCACTCCCTGTCAAAGGCGGTCAACATATTCATCCACAGTGGGATCGTACAGCGAACAGATGTCATGCATCAGATGTTTGGCCTGAAGCCCTGCAAGTCCCACATGATGTATATTCTCATCATCCAATCATCCCCTGTCAGTGTGGAGTGGAATATAAGAGGCGAGATGTGATGTGATTGGACTATTGATGTGTAAACTAATGAGCCAGAGTCACTTCCTCAATGGCACCAGCCCATGGAACTGATCCATGTCCATGTGTGAGCTTGTGAACAATGAACCTGTACAGTAGGAGT